TGAAAATGAGCGGTAGAAAAGAAATTACTCGGAACAGGTTTGGATTTCTGAGGGAATATCAATTACCTAGCAATTACACATACACCTTACTGATTATTTTTAATTAGATTTATTTTAGGATAATGCTAATATATGATAACAAAAGACCTGTCGGGTTGTGACTTTACAAATAATTGATTCCTGTTTATTTTACAAGGCCTATCTCTAGCACATTGTTGTTAGGTCTGAAACTGAGAAGAAATAACTAGTAAGCGTTTTTTCATGAATTTTTAAAACGATTTCCAGGGTATATCAGTTCGTGATGAAAACTACGCTCAATTCATAGTTAAATCTGAGAATCAGAATATTTTAAAATTGATAATATGATTTTGTCATCGTGATACATAGTGAGAATACAAATTCAAGAACTCAAATTACTTTAAGAATACGGTGATGAATAAATTCAGATAAATAAAAATTCTCAGTATAGGGTTGTAAAGATTGTTGAGTTTTGACTGAGATCATGAATCGATTAATATTAGGTTAATATTAACTATAAAGGAAGAAAGGTTATCAAAATGATTATAATCAGAGAGAGGATTCGCGGATATTATAATAATTTAATAGTTGAATTTATAAGTTAATTGAAGCTAGACCACCATGGAAAACCTGGAAGCACCAGATGGTCGTCTCGTCGTAGTATGGAATCCCTCAAGAGTGCGCATCCACAATCTCGCCTGTGGAACCGAACCCAAACGCTTAACTTCTAGACTATTTAATCAGCACTCAACAATGTTAATGTCTAAAGTTAACCAATCCACGATATTATGTGACTATCTTCCGTTGTTTTTGGTGTATAACTGTCTCCACTCAACACTAATTGATCTTCACTAATCACGGCTTCTCACTAGAATTACTTCCAGATTCTAGTCAGTACTGAGACTATGATAATTATCAGTATAGGTTTTCAATTGTGATCTAATATTGGTCTCAAAATAGAAATTCTTAAAATTTCATATGAACTATGGTAATCGAAATTCTCACAAAAACCATGCAGACTTCTACTAAATAATTTTACTTAAAACATTGAAAAATAAATTTTATTTCATTCATTAATTAAGTAGATCTCTAAAATTTCTTTTAAATATCTTAGATAAAACTGATTAATGTCAAAATAATATAACGAACTCTTTACCTTTATAGAAACATAAAATAGAACGGAAACAGAGCAGTTATTTGGAAAGTTAAAATACTATCAATAATGTATGCATATGTATAATTAAATACGATTATTATTATTATTATTATTACTAGAGATTAAGGTTAGTATTTGAAGAACAAAAAGAAAATCTTCAAAGGTCATTTGTACTAAGTCTTCTGAATGGTAATAATAATGTAAGATGATGAATTATTATTTTTACCAAAATAGAATTTGAGTAGTTAGGTTAATTGAGGACATTCGAGTTGAATGAAGTAAGCAGAAAAAAAATTAATAAACAATAGTGATCAATTAAAATCAATTCAATTGATCATTGAATTTTATTTTGTGTGTATTATTTCTATTTGAAATGAAGTTTCAAATAACTTTTACATACTTAATATTCATAAGGAAAAAATAGAATAAAATGATGGATGACTTCGAACGAGTTTATTACATTCATTTAGATTTATAAATAAGATAAATCAAGCTTTAAGCCTGAAGGCATTGTGTAATTTTAAACTCGAATATTTGGTTATAGATCTAGTATATGTGTTACATATATATATATAGCTTATATGTATCTGAGTATAATAATTTTGATGTATGCGTGTGCGATTTCATTGACATTGTTTTAATGTTTAGCTGTTTAAATATGTTACTAGAACCTGAATTGATTATATTATGTAATAACCAACCAATCATTAGACAAATCTAGTTTGCCAGAACTGATAGAAGATTAACTGGATCGTAGAATGTCAGAACTTTAATTCCTTTGACAAAAGAAAAAAGGTTTAAAGTTGGTTTTTGTCTGAAATTGTAATGTGAATAAATCAGCAGTAATTTTTGTAGTTCGATTTACGGACTAGGCTTAGGCAATCGTTAGAAACCAAGAAGTATTGAACAGGTATGAAATCTAAGGTCAGTTAGTGATGTAAACTATAAAACTTAGCAATTATCACAAATTCTCCAAACTAACAAAAGTCTACAGCGAACAAATTTAACTGTCTATTTACTCTTACTCCGACCAATGATTTTATGATCGGATTATGTTACTTCCAACAACATAAATGATATGATCAAATTAATACGAGTATTTAGTTAATTCAATAGAATTACGTATTTCTGATAAAATTTAAAGGTTTGTTTTTAACGGTAGAGTTTTACTTTAAATCGAATATCACAGTTAAATGGTGAATCAGTACTTTAGCAAATTTTTAAGCTATTCAATGAGTTACAGTGTTTTCATTTATTCAGTACATATTATTAGAGAATACGTTGAAGAAAGTGGATTAGTTTTTTTGAAAATCGAAAGATTGGTTTGAGACGATCGAAAATAGTATTTGATTGTAAAAATTACCGATTTTTAATTCCTATAATTTAAACTAAATAAGTAAGAATAAAAATGGGAACTAAGTCACCATGGACTCAAAATAAGACCTTAGAATAAATGATGAACACGTTCAGGTCGAATATATAATTAAATGTTGCAGATCAATTAAAATGTTCAAAACAAATAATAATAAATATTTTAATAGTTGGAAACCGTTGGAAACCTGGAAGCAATGGACGGCCGTTTCGTCCTATTGTGAGACTCCACAGTAGTTGCTCATCCACGATTCGGTCTCGCGAGATTCGAACAAAGGACCTTTCAGTCTCGCGCGTGAATGCTTAATCTCTAGACCACTGAGCCGACCAGCATCCAATGGTGTTAATGTCTAATTTCAACCAATCCACGAAATTGAGCCACACATCCAACATTATCCTCAGTGATTTACTATCTCATTATAGACTCAGTTGAACTCCACTGGTCACTGCTTCTCACTAGAATTCCAGGAAATACCTCTTGAATTCAGTCATTAGTGAGCATATGCTGTTTAGTATCAGAAGGGGTTTTGTGGAGATTGTAGTAATTTCATGAGTCAATTGGAGCTAGACCATTATGTTTTTCATTGTTATTACCAAAAAAATGTGATCATATTTATTATAGTAGAGAATTAATATGAAGAAATGATGATAAATATCAAACATTGTAAACAATCCGTATTTTGGGTACTTCGATTGTTTTTAGTTAAATTGAAACATCTGGTGTCTTTTACCTGATTAGCAACAAAATTCTAATGGAATTTCATGTTTCAAAAATGTATCTAATTTTTAATATTTCATAACCTTTTCAAGCTAATGTTTACTATTCAAAGTTTCAATTCAAGTGGCTAATGTTACTTTATTTTATAACTGAAATATACGAGTTATCAACACAACTTTCCTCATTTTTCGTAGAATCAACACAATCCAAACAATTGATATCATACAAACTAATATGAAATAGCTTTAGTTGACTCATGATCTCAACTATTAAAATTACTATAACATCCACAAAAACCCCTTCCGATGATAATAAATATTTTTATTGTTATATCCCTATGAGTTGAATAATTGTATTTCTGACGTTTCGTGACTTCATATAGGCCACCTCTTCAAAGTAACTAAAGAAGTGAATTACATTAAGTCACGAAACGTCAGAATTACAATTTTTCTACTCATTAAGATATAACAATAAATATATTTATTATTCACTCCCTACTCAATGCTTAACTTATTTGAAACTATCAAATCTGACCTTGGCATTGATACCTATTAACTTAAGCCAAATGTTAATAGAAATAAACATAGATTTTAAATTTGTTTATAATCACGAATGTTCTTTTAAAAAAACAACAAAAAGATTTTTACACTAAATGGTAAAGGCTATTTTACCTTCTTACATTCCTTCTCAAGAAAAAAAGAATCCAGTTATAAACAAATGAGGATGTATTACAATTTTTTTAGTTGTCATAATTTACATTACTAAGACTAAAGGAAATCATAACTACAAATACAGGAAATTATGAAGGTAATACAAATCAGTGAAATTAATGTTCAAGTGTTTTCATTAAGTAATTAAGGGCTATATTTATGGTAAATTTTAACATACCATTTCTAAAGTGTTTATTTAATGAATTGCACTGAAGAGTTTATGACAACCATTTTCAAAAGTATACTGTACTTTTTAATTTAATTACCTTACATTTCAGGTGAATTACATACCTGAAATCAGATAGAAGCACTAAGGAGAAACAATAAAAATTTCTGTTCTATTCTTTGGACAACGAAATGTGACTATTTCATAATATTAATAAATTTTAAAAGAAGTTAATGGTTTCTAGGTAGTGCGAAAAATAGTAATAAACCAACTATCGTTCTACTCATTTCAGGATATATTTAATGTAATACTTGTAAATTTGTTAGCTACGCTTATATGTATTTCGGTACTGATTATATCAAGTTTGGAACTTAGCTATTACCACTTAAAACCTCATAGAATAATTCGTTGAACAACTAAGTACCAATATATATATATCATGCATAATGACTATTTGTGTAATTCATTTTTAAATTGATTAATAGTGTTTATGCTAGTAGATGTCGTGATTAAGTAATCAAATAGGCAAACGTTAGGATATTTAATTCATTCACTGTGAGGTTAGTTTATTAGTGGAAAGTTAAGCCCATTGTATTGTAGATTAATTAAAATTAGATATATCAGGTGTATGGTACGTTCAGAAAACAAATAGTTCATATATTAAAGATGTTCAGCCTTATGAAATATTCTTAAATTACACTCCACTTGTTTTTAAGTTTATTCAATGATATTTAAATGAATAATAATAGATGACATGTATAGAAACTCGGAATTAAAGTGAATTCGAAAGGAATTTTTCATGTCAAGTGGTTGATTGATTAATATTATTTTACCTGTTTTTTATTTATTTTTATTTTCAAGACTGAACTATCTCAGTCACTTCAAGCACTATCAGAAAGAGCTCGTTCAGCTACGGAGCACATACAGCGTTTAAGATCGAAGTCAGAAACCGTTAATGTAAGTTCCTTTTCAGGTTGAATATAGTTAATATTTCATAATCAAAAAATTTATAATCAGTAATTACATACTATATCGTGGATGTGAGTGTATGTCTCTAATGATGTACACACTGATCTGAAGGTATGGTCTATATAAACATTATTATCAAATTGTTAGACAGTAAAAATGTTAGTTATTTTTTGACATCTCAAAAATCTTAACATATTTTAATTGATAAGATAATTTAGCTTTAGTTGATGGGAAAAATTAAAAGATAGACAGATAAATCACTAAAAACCCGTAGCAAATAAAGCCCACTACTTAAAAAATTATATTTATGGTTTTCTAAATAAGTTTGGAAATCCAGTGTAGCAGCGGTAGGTCTTTATTTGTTTATTTAAACACATAAACATTGGTACAAGGAAGCATCAAATAGATGCGCGCCACATAAATCTTTCTATTTGCGGGACACTGGAGTTGAGATATTGCCTGGGTGGCATAACCTAAGTAGGTGATTTTCTTAGGCGGCCACTTTCCGAGCCTTTGATCTGAAGATCCTTAAGGCAGTGGAGCAACGTCAGGAGATGCGGTTCCATGGTAGCCGGTGACCAACGATTGGTTCATACGCCATTTGTTCCCGCAGGATAGTGGAGCCCATGTGCGCTATTGGTTTGGAGTCAGGGTTTTTCAACTCCCCTAGGTGGACTCCTCGTGTTCGCCAACCGGGTTAAAGCGCCGGACATTCACTTTTCCTCATCACAATTTCGTAACCAACACCCCCACCACAAGAAGGCAATGAATAGAACTTTCCAGGCATTGTTTGCATGCACGTGACCGTGTGAGAGCATTTCGAGAGGGAGAGCGGACTCTCCCCACGCTCGGCCGTACCAGGGTATTTGGGGGCTGAAGGCAGGTCTAGACATTCATCAAAGAAAAAACAAGATCCTAAAATATAACACAACGAGTACCAACCAAATCACATTTGATGAGAAATCTCTGGAAGAGGTGGCAACACCATTGATAAACAAGGAGAATATGATACAGATGTGGAGGCATGGATTGGCAAAATAACGGGAGCATTCATACAAGTGAAGATCTGGAACACTAAACAACTATTAGTTGATCGAAAGTCAGAATTTCCAACTTAAACGTCAAGACAATTCTATTGTACGCGACTGTGACTTTGAGATCTATTACAACTATCATCAAAAAAGTACGGGTATTTAGAAACACATGTCTACACAAGATCTATTGGCCGGACATCATCAGCAACAATCTACTCTAGTAGAGTACAAACCAGTTTTCAACTGAAGGGTAAATTAAGAAGAGATACTGGAGATGGATATAACATACATCGAGAAAATTATCAAACTTCATCATGAGGCAAGCCCCAAATTGAAATCCTCAGGAGGACAAGGAAAGTCGCTGGCTTGGAATCGAAGGTAGATATAAAAAAAGAACAATATTTTGCAACAGCTTGGAGGGAAAACCCAGAGTAGAGTTGGTTGGAGAGTCCTGGTCTGTGGCTATGCTTATCCACAAGGGTTAACATAAGTTAATGAACAAGCTGAGATCATATGAAAAATAGTTGAGATTTGAAAGTAGTTTCCATTGCAACCCAACACAACTCCATGAACACTAGAATATTTAGTAGATTTAGTGATGTCGCCTAAAATATTACTCCGTGGTGTAACTAAAATTGATAGATAGTAAACAATGAAGGTAACTATTAGAAAAGCGGATGATTCATCATGGGTCTTTCATGGCTTCTCTGGGGAAAAATATCAGCACAAACGTTTAGGTAAATAAACCATTTATCATCTACATCATGGACTGGTTTTATTTAGACAACTACTGTATGTCAAGAAAAGTTGGACCGCTGTTTTGTTCTTGTATAGGACTGCTCATTATTAAGCACTTACAACTAAAAGGTGAATCGTTAATCGTTTAACTTAGGTCAATCCGTAAAACCTAAATTTTTAACGATCTCTGTGATCCCCTTACAATAAAAATTTATCGTATAATTTTATGATTATTTATTTATTTATTTATTTGAACACATAAATATTGGTACAAGAGAGCGCCAATATATATGCGCCACACAAAACAATGGGAATTCGAAGAGAAGTAGAAAGAAAAAAAAAAAAAAAAAAAAACTAAGGAACGCAAAAGAAAAAGAGAGTAATGACGAAGAGGTACAATCAGAAGAAATCTTTCACGTAAATGAGACACAACCACTTTTTATGAAGAAAGTAAAAGAAGGTTACAGCAGGATCGCCACTGGCTTCTATTCTGAGCCATATCTGATAACGTCTCTAGCCACTGTGTTGCACCATCTCTCGGACCCCAACCAGGGAGTCGTGAAGGACCAACACAAGCCAGTCCTTTGCAGCTTTCTTTCATGCCACGACACCATGTCATGCACTGACCACCTCTCCGCTTCTTCCAACCAGTCCCAGAGTCGGCAAATAATGCACGACGTGGAATTCTCTGGGACGACATTCGGAGAACATGTCCAAGCCACCGAAGTCGGTGTTTCAAGATGGTGACACCAATTGAGTTATCATCTCTGTGCCCGAACACACGATGCCGAACCTCTGCATTACTGACATGGTGTTGCCACTGAATGTCAGCAATCCTTCGGAGACAGCGATGATCGAACACAGAGAGTCGTCTAACGTCCTCAACTCGGAGAGGCCAGGTTTCACAAGCATAGAGCAAAACTGCTCTCACCGACGCGTTGTAGATCCGGCCTTTTACCGCCAGACTAACATCACGAAGGCGCCATAGATGGCCCAGATTGGCATAAGCCGCTCTGGCTTTCACTATTCGTGCATTGATCTCATCACTCACACCCCCACCAGCACTTATGCAGCTACCCAGATACACGAACTTCTCAACTACGTCTATCTGCTCACCGTCCAGGGTGAGTACAGGATTAGAATCCTGCCAGTCTTGTAGAAGTACTTTGCACTTCGAAGGTGCAAAGCACATACCATACCTACGGACATTGATTGCCAACTGATTAAGTGCGGATTGCATGCCTTGGGTACCTAGCCTGTCGTATGCCCTGATGGTGTTCTCGTAACTTTCGGGTTGCCTGATCTGCCAAGGGCGATGGGACAGTGCATGACGCTATTGTTGTGTGCTAGGTTCAAAGAGAATTGTATGCTATATGCATGCAAATCCGCCCCGTTATTGTTCCTATTTGCCCCCTGAATGCCCTGGTACGGCCGAGAGTGGGGAGAGTCCGCTCTCCCTCTCGAAATACTCTCACACGGCCACGCGTATATAGCCTCTGCCAGGGAAGTCCTACTCATTGCCTTCTCGTGGCGGGGGTGTTGTTTACGAAAATGAGAGGACGAGAAGCGAATGTCCGGCGCTTTAACCGGATTCCAAACCAATGGTGCACATGGGCTCCAGTATCCTGCGGGAACGAATGGCGTATGAACCAATCTTTGGTCACCGGCTACCATGGGACTGCATCTCCTTACGATGCTCCACTGCCTTGTGGGTTAGACCTTTAGGTCAAAGGCTCGGGGAGTGGCCCCCTAAGATAACCACCTGCTTCGGTTTGGGCACCCGGGCAGTATCACAGCCCACACACAAATGATGAACTGTTTATGTCTATGGAATTTTATGATTACGTTTAGACTATTTCTATATCCTGATTCAATTAACCTAACTCTCGAAGTTTCCATAAAATAAACGATTTGTTTGATTATACATAAAAAGTAGGGTAAATATTTTACTGATAAAGCATGAAACTAAACAAGTCATATCTATCACTATTTATCAACACATTTTATACAAAATGAGAACTGATTAATTGATGAGATAATGGTCACTTGATGGTCAATTATTTATTTAACTTGTCTAATTTTAATAAATATGTATGGTGATATTATGTGAGTAAAACAGAGCAAAATATCATAAGTGTATAATGCTTTTAACTAAACAGCACATATTGACTTAAAAGTTACTCAAATAAAATGATCGTGATGTAAATATATTTTTTGGGGGGTGAGGGAAAGATGGTCAAAATATTATACAGTAATATCTACAATTTGACATGTGAATTAAGCTGGTAAAACATGATTATGAAGTTTCATCATGAGATTTTTTGATACTCATCATCAGGAAAAACTAGGCAAGATAGTAAGGTAAAACTAGCAGACAAATTTTTTAAATTACTTAGATAAAATATGTATTACTGGTGATCAGTGCCAGTGGTCAGCAGATGTGTATCATCTTGTTTGTTGCATAGATTGTTTAGATCATTTAACTCCACTTTATTAATCATGTTGTTCTTAATGAACCCAGAATATAAATTTTCAATAATGTACTTGAAAGTGCCAAAGAGTTCCGACTAAATCATGGCTTTACACCATAAAACTAATGGGCTGTAGATTTTGACGACTCAGTTCGTTATACATTTCTGTTTCGTATAAGTTTCCTTACACCTAGTTTTATCCCTGCGCTATGACTAGTAATTATTTGTTATTATTGATATTTATTCACTCTTACTACTTACCAAAGGTTATCAATCAAAAGCTATAAAATAACTTTTCTGAGAATGTAGATTAATTGATTAAAAACCTTAAGATAGCTACTGATAAACTATGCAATACTAGTTCTCATTTGTTTCCAAAGAGCTTGAAAAAGAAAGCATTTTTTATTATCAGAAGGGGTTTTGTAGAGATTTTAGAAATCTCATTAGTTGAGATCATGAATCAATGGAAGCTAGATCACCATGGAAAACCTGGAAGAACTCGACGGCCGTTAAGTCTGTTTCAATACATGAGAATATCATAATAATTACACAAAAAACATAGTTCAGATATCATTTAAAATTCATCAACTCAAAGATATATGTCAAAAGATATATATGGACATAAAAGTTGAAATCATGATTACCCATTAAATAACTTCAATCATCTAGCTCTATGTTTTTCCACATTTTATCTGATTGTTGAAATTTATTTTACAAAAATAATTTTGTTTTCTGATTTTGAATTTCATAAAATGTAAATTAAACACAACAAGAAAATGATTGATTCATTGGGTTTCAAATAGTGAAAATTCTAAAAAAAATTTTTTCCTTTTACGGAAAACATTTAACGTGATTGTAGATAAGATAGGAAAATTTTGTAAGCAATGATGGATAGTGGCTAGCAGTAGAATCCAGGACGCGCGTTTCATCCAGCTGACGAGTTCCAAATAGGACGAAACGCGCGTCCTGGATTCCACTGCTAGCCACTAGCCATCATCGCTTACAAAAAGCTTGTGAATCAAGGCAATATCGAGGCATACGCACAGTATGCACATATGCCAATAAAAAGACTGATCAATTGCAGTCTTAAACCTCAGTGGGAAGATACAAGCCAAACGCTACCGAGTGAAGATAGAAAAATGTTTGATAAAACACTAAGAATGAAATCATTTTTTTTAAAATATGTTTTAAAAACCACCATATGTATATTACTAACATTTACGATGAAATATGTCAATACATTCCTTAGAATAAAGAGTGTCACGAGTTAACTATGCTTAAAGTTTGAGTGTCTATTGTATCGCGTTATTAATATTTGTTTCAGCTACTGATTAGCAAAAGGTTTGACAAACTAGTATATTCATACGTTTGTAAGCTTTTTTTCACTAGTTATTAGAGGAATTTAATTTGAATCCCACGGGGAGGGATCGTGGATGTGCACTGCTGAGGAGTCTCACAATAGGACGAAATGGCCATCCAGTGCTTACAAGTTTTCCATAATGCTCTAGCTTCAATTGACTTATGATCTAAACTATTGAATTTAATTTAGTGTAATTTTTTTTTGTTATCTTAATGACTTTATTCAGAAGTTATTTCTAAGTTAATTAATATCATTTATGAAGATTTGAACATAAAATGCACTAAGTAGAGAGTAAACAAAATTTTTATGTATACATTATTTATTATTTGCTATTGAGGAATCGATTCTTTTATATTCTGATATCAGCTTAATAGGTGTTTCATTCTAGTTCGTGACTTCTTAGCTTTTTACACTTGCCATTACTCAAGGACCTGTTACTTACACGAAGAGGGAATTCTTTATAGATGATTAATTTGAAACTCAATATTTCACATTTGCAGTCTGTCAGCACACAATATAGCGTAATAGTTATTTGGTAAGCTTATTGAATGACAGTCTTACTTTACTGTCATAACTTCTCACTAGAACTTTAGCACTTCATCTCAAAGTTAGTTGTTAGTATCCAGATGATTAATAGTACAATGAACACATCTGTAAAGTTTAATCTTCTGTACTAACTCAAACCCTTCGGAAAATCATTAAAATAACTGAAGATTTGGTTAATAGCTGGGTTTCGTAATCAGGTAAGCCAAAGAGTGATAAAGTGATGATCACTAAAATGAGTTTCCTAAATTATTGCTTTTTTTAAAATATTTCCTCATTCTTGAATGTAACCACATATGAAAGTTCATGAAACCCTGTAGTCTAATGCAGATTTATTCAGTTGTATAAAAGCGATACACTGTTATGTAATATTTTAGTGATACCATTCATTTAAGCAGTTGGAAATAAGTGGGTCTTGCATAAAGCTTGTGGCTCAGCAGTTGAGTATCAATTATACGAATCAATAATCCGTAGCTCAACACAAAAAAATCTATTCATTGACCCAGTTGACAATCAGTGAAATTTTTAATGAGACTTATTTATTTAACTTTCAATAACTGTGTTTTATACTCTGCACAAATTATTTTTTTGCAGAGAAACCTTGCAGATTCAGAAAAAGAACTTGTTGAACAACTAAACACATTGATTTCTGCTATTGAAACAAAAAAACAAGAACTAACAGAACGTTTACGAGACGAAAGAACCAAACGTATTCATTGTCTCAAGGAACAAATTAATCGTGTCACATCATTATTAACCAAATCAACTGGTCTTATTCAATTTTGTATAGAAATGCTTAAAGAAAGTGATCCATCCGCATTTCTTTTGGTAAATTAATTCTTCATAACATATTCATGTTTCTAATTACCATATTATCTCATATTTGGTTAAAGTTATCAGAAAACATTACTAAGTAAAGGTTGATGGTGGCTAGCAATAAAATCCAAGGCGCGCGTCTCTTCCTATTTGGGACTCATCACCTAGATGTACCTGCATCTTCGAGTTGATGTTCACTCTGGAACTCGAACCCAGTACTGTTTGCTTCGAATACTACGGCTTTATCCACTTGGCTACTGATTCTTGATAGCCACTAGCTTGTGTAATGAGGTGTAGTTAAAATTCATTTTGTATTGTTTGTCCCAAACACCAATAAGAAGATTCAAACAGACAATCGCAAATGAATTAAAAAACGTTACTGTTTTAATTATGAATAGTATTGAACTAATCACTTTAGGATAGCTAAGTTAATAAGTTATAGTTCATTGTTGTTGTGAACCTTTGGAATTATATTTACTCAGAAGAAAACAAATACCAGTTAATGGAAAAAGTAATGACTAACAAACCAAAAATATTTTGTTATGCTACACTACTCATGAAGTAAAAGAGATTATTTTCTGAATACTAAATATGTAAGCTATTTATCAGTATAGAGTTGTGGAGATTGTTGAGTTTTGATTAAAATCATGAGTCGATCAAGGTTAGACCACTTTTGAAAACCTGGAAGAACTGCACAGTCGTTTCATCCTAGTATGGGACCCCTCAACAGAGCGCATCCACGATCGCGCATACGAAACTCGAACCCGGGACCTTCGGTAACGAGCGTGAACGCTTAACCTCTAGACAACTGAGCCGGCATCCAACAACGTTAAAACACTTGTCAGTTTGTTTCTTTAAATGAATTAATTGATCGTTATGAATAAAACATGAGTTGTGATTTAATATGAGAATTATTGGTTTGAAATGATATGGATTATAAAGGCCAAAATTCAAATTCCCTTGAAATTATCTCTAAAGAAGCGTTAAACTACAATGTGCCAGAATATCAGATACAAATTTGAATTCAGTAAACACAAAGTATGTTTTTGAACTTCAAATTAATAAACAGGCAGAATAATTTTAATCTACTTAATGCCAATAGTTCTGAGGATATATATATATATATATATATATATATATATATATATATGAGTATATTTCAGAAAGTGTGGCGACTTAATTTATAGTTCGTGAAGTATAGAAAATGAAGTCGGAAGTATGAAATTGTTCAAATCTGTATTTAAAAAAATACTTTTGCCTAAGCTTCATATCATATTTCTTCTTCACCTCGATGCATGAGTAGAAAAAAGAGTACGAGTTATTGGATTGTAAATCAAACTTATTCATCTCGAATGTTGCTGAAATAAAATCCCTCCTACCTCATTGAAAGTAATAGAAAAAACCTAATAAAACATAACAACATTTGATCATTAATTGTGATATATCCAGTATTTTCCTAAGAAGATTATATTCAGAAATAATAATCCATTGAGAAATATAGTTATATAAAAAAATATTTTGTAAATAGTCTCTCACTATCGATTTTATTGATTTCATAATGTTCTCTATGATGTGAAATATTTGTACATACTGAAAAATGTTTGAGAAGTTCAGTTGATTTTTCAATGTTAAACAATTTCTATTGTATGTACTAATATGTTTGAATATTAACAAAATAAGCATATATATCTATAGCATTTAAATAGTTAAATATATCATTAATTTCCTGATAAATGATACTGATGTTTACAGTTTGCAATAATTAATCATATATATATATATTAGTATTCTTTATTGATAGAATACATTATTGCTGTCACTCGGTGGTAATAACACTGTTTATTACAGATCACATGGATATCAAATATATCTGTTACAGGTTGAATACAAATTAGATAATACTTTTTTTTGACATTTTCATTATGACATTTTAATATAATTTTAATTTATATTAAACAATAATTATCAATGTTTATGCCAATGAATATCCATTGTCTTAGACTAGCCATAGTGATTAAATATCATATGGAGGATGTGTAAAAGTAAATCAATTACTTAATCATCTATTAAAATATTTAAGTATATAGTTATTTTAATTCAAATACTTTTACATTTTAGGTATCTCAATCACTTATCACACGTACTCAAAATGCAGAACAAAATTTTATACAAGAACTTCAACATACTTCATCTACTAATGATATTACTGGATCTTTATTATCACTTGCTTTATCATCAAGTAAAGATTATTCACATCATTCACCTAAGAAAAGAACACTTAAATCAAATGAAGAGATTTCTGGTAAATACAACAATCCTGCCGGTAATGTTAGTGGGACAAGTACATCTAATCGATTAAACAAAACATTGGATTTATTAGGTGTGAATAGTGTTGATGCAATACATCGAGCAATTTTAAATTTAGGTTTAGAAGAAGATCAAAGTAAGTAATAAAGCTTCATTGTAAAGAGATATCCCTTGTATATTTTAAAACCTAGAAAATAGTTTTATCTACTTAATAATTAAAGGATATTTTGAATCACTGATATTGATTAAAAACACACTTCACATTCTATGATCTCGAAGATATTACTACCATAATTTAATCGTCAACAAGTAAGAAAGTTTCAATTCTTATCGATTAACTGAACATATCAGAATGAAGAGATTAGATTTAAATAAAATATCTTCTATTTTGTAATATTTATCGATTTCTGATGCTATGTGCTCAGTAACCTAAATGGTTACCTATTCCAAACTGTAACTGAGATTTACTCAATGTTCTGAAAAAGAAACGATTAATTCAGTGAATTATTAAAGAAAAGTTTTTTTTCTCGAGACGAATACAAAGTTAAAGTTGTCTCCTGCAATAAGAAAATTGATTTATCACAATCTTAAATAAAATAAACGGTTCGTAATCAATATATATCGCCTTACAATATTTTCAAAGAAAAAAAGAACTGGACAGAGTAGTAGTGTATAACAACAACAAAAAACAAAATGCAATCTGACTAAAAGGTAATTCAGCCAAATAAATAATTCAACTCTTATTTATTGTCAAAAAAGAAGGTAAAGCTTAAAAAATGTTACATGATCTATTCTATATATTAACTCATTAATAATTGATTACTTTAGGATAAGCTAGTTTACTTTAACTACTGATGTCACTAAGGTAGGTAATAATAACAAAACAGTCATAGTTCCCATCATAGTACAGTTTGAACTCGATATCCTAGTGGTTAAGCGCTCGCGCGCGAAACTGATAGGTCCTGGGTTCGAATCTCACGAGAGGCAGGATCGTAGATGCGCACTGCTGAGAAGTCCCATGCTAGAACGAAATGGCCGTCCAGGTTTTCCATGGTGATCTAGCTCCAAATGACTCATAATTTGAATTATTGAAATTACTAAAATCTCCACAAAACCCCTTCTAATATAATCTGTCCTGAAAGTGTAAATAAACTAGCAATTATTTTGTGAATATATCACGTTTTTAATTTAATAAGAATGAATGAAATGTATTTGCATACAGTGAAGTAACTAATTAACATGTTTATGTTATATTAAGTTCATTTTCTTCGTATAGAACTATTTACTTCTTATTGACAATGAGCTTGTAATCACTTTTTTACTATTAATTTCAAAATAAAGAATGATTCTTATGTATCATCTAAAGTTTGGTTATACCACTTGAAAAATGATTTAATCTGATAAAATCAACTTTATCATTGTAGTGAAATGTAAAAGTGATCATAGAGTTACATACAGAACAGAAGCAAGAAAATTTCATCATTTATTGTTATAAGAAAATCATAGTGATACTAATTGGTAGTTTGAAAACTGATTGATTGATGATAAACTAGTGAGAAATAGCCTTATCATAAAACAAAGAAACATCTAAAAGATCTGCATTATTGAAAATACTGTTATATTTGATAGTTTTGTCTGTTGATTTAATGAATGATTCTTGTGAAAGTGTTCAAAGTTAATTATATTCATATTTCTACAATCATATCATCTAATGTTGACATACATAAAGTATAAGTTAGATGTCTAGCTTTGTATTGTATCTGGCAAGAATAAATGTGCTCACTAAAGGTTGTATGACTGAATTATAACTCAATTATGAACGTATACTTTATAATATGTCCGTCAGAAGTAAAAGATTTTTCTCGTCTATATGAAATCTCTATAAGTTTCTATCTACATATCCAACTATATATATAAACTATGAGTTAGCTAAGTGCAATTACACATACTCACTAATATACATGATTATTGATTAAACTGGCTTTCAGTCTAACTTGTATCCTTATTATTCACAGCATAGAGGATAAATCAACTATTCCAAACCTGTCCAATGAAAATGTTAATATATGTATAATATTAGATTTGTATGATATATCTTTCTATAATATGAAACATAGAACATAAGAGCTGAAATAAAGCAGAATTACCAACCGAATGTTAACTAGTCTGTTATTACATATTTCTTAGCTTGGTTTTTTAATCAAGGTTATTGCTTCTGTTATTGTTGTTGGTCGCCTTCTTGTTTCTCATTTACAAATCCCTATTTCTCCTTAACAGTTAGTTTGTTTACTCATTTGTCACGTAGAATAAACTAGTAGGAGGTGGTTGACTATATTTCTGATTTTCATTTTGTTCATTTTAATAAATTAAAATAATTATAATTTCTTTATTATTTATAACTTGTTTGTCATATATATATCACACTATTACTTACAAATGCATCTGGTTTTTTGGTTTTAGTTTGTACGTTATTGCTGAGGACAGACTAATGGCATTGTTTTTCTGAAATATAAATAAATAGACAAGATAATAAAAATAAATTTCTCAGTAAGTAAACCCAAATAACCCCACGAGTGGGATCGTGGATGCGCACTGCTGAGGAGTCCAACAATCGGACGAAACGGCCATTCAATGTTTCCAGGTTTTCAATGGTGATCTAACACTGATCAATTCACGATCTCAATCAAGAAATTAAGTTTTAATTCCCACAAAAAGTTTAGTATAATTTGATCACTGATTATATGTATACATAAATTAAGATTTTTGTAAGTAATCAGCGGAGATTAAACAAAGTTGTTCACATTGACTGATTATTGAATAATATCCAATGTAAGTTAACAACTAGAATAAGTATTTCAGTCTTGAAGAATGTCAGTCATTGCCTAAATAGCTTAATGACAACATTTATTTGTGAAATTGGGTAATACGTGCTCGAATGTTATATGAACTACTGATTTCTCTCAAGATTTCAGATGGATTCAGTAAACGATTGCAGTTATAACTTCTTGTCAAATGAATTTACAAACGTAATATTAAATGATTTACATCTTTAAGTAGAATTTATTTTTTATCAGTATATCTTATGCCATTGTTGCATATTATCAATAAGACTTGTTAAGTAGTGCCTGTACAAACTTCTAAATCATTCAAATAAAAATACTAAATTAATCCATTCAAGTAAATTACATTCTATTGACTTTTGATTATTTCTAATTTACAAATAAAACAATTATCCACAGAAAAAACAACTTTACTAATATGAAATAAGACAAATCATGAAAACTAGATAGACGAAAAGGTTTACTATATCAATCAAGGTATTTGAAAAGAAAAAAACATCTAGAAAACAGTAGTCAATTCTTTAATACATAAACTCATAATGTATTTCAACACATATCAATATGTAACTTCATTACCTAATCACATTATGCTCATAACTTTTAATTAGGTGTAAGATATTGTCTTTTATGATAATAGATTATAAGGAGATAAACATTTAAACCAACACAGGAGGAACAAATTTAAATTAATGATAAATCAGATTATTTGTATCACTGTGGTCAACATGTTTGACGTTATTATGTGAAAGTTTTCTATGTTAACATTGTCATACTACGAGTTAACCAACTACTAATCTATTATTAAGATACGAACAATACTATAACACCTAATGGCGTTTTTAGATTGTCACCTGAATGAATAAATAAATTGCTGTCTAAGCTATATGATAGATATCTTCATGCGTGAACAAGAAAGCTCACTCTTAAGTCTATATAAAGTTGTAACAGATGTGAACAGACTCAGAAAATAAAGTGCATATTATTATCTAAAAAAAATTATAAGAATGTTTGACATTCTCGAAAATAAGTGAAATTACAGGTAAACAACAAAGGTAGCATTACATAATTTTTATTGCGTCATTCATTAGTTCAACTCTTTCTGAAGTTTGATTACATCATTGTTGTTGTTTTTTCAATTCATAACTGACTGGTTTCAATTCACATCTTTCTTTATTACCAATAATCTGTTTTCAGTTGCATCACTACACAATCATTTATTGTTTGTTAACTCCATGAATTTTAATCAATGGAAAGATCCAAACAAACAACACCAAGTGAATTTAGGCTTAACCCCATTGAACAAGCAGTTGACTATCAGGACTCAGTTGCTAGGTGGATAAGGCGATGGCGTTTGAAGCGAACGATACTGAATTCGAATCCTAGAGTGAGCATCAATTCCGAAGTTCAGGTACATCTAAGTGACGAGTTCCAAATAGGACGAGACGCAAACCCTGGACTCCGCTGTTAGCTACTAGTCATCTTTCCTTAAAAAAACTTTATTTGTTATAGAAATTAGAATTCTTAGAGTTTATTGTATATAAAGGAAGTGCACTACTTCATTCTATAGTATGTTTAAGCAGGGTTACGATTACAAAGATCTTAATATTAGTTTAGGATTTATTCTATATTTTAATATATAAATGTTTATATATTCTATAATAATTCTTTTACTGGAACTAATAGTACACTATTATTCTTTTGTCAAATTCATAAATGGTGTTTTTCATAGAGCTGAACCTATAAATAAATATAGTATTTTTCTCACATTAAATAATGGTTATTTCATATAGCTATAAGCAATATTATAACCATGGTAATGATTAAAATAATAACAGATTGGCCTATATTTCTATTTGTAATTTATTAGAGAAATAAAGGGAAATGAGAAATAAAGAAATAAATAGCTATTAGAGACTTTGATTTATTCAAAGCTAACAAAAATCTGAACTTAACATGATAAATAGATAAATTCCTATTATGTTTAATTGAACACTTTTGCTTCCCTTGAAAAAATGAAGATACATCGACTTTATGAGGTAAACCGTTTGCGCGCGAGACCATATATTCTTGGTCCAATCCCATGTGTGACATCGGGGGTACACACTACTGAATATTCCTCATACTAGAACGAAACGGTCGTTCAGTGCTTTCAGATTTTCCTTGATGGTCTAACTTAGATCAATTCATGAATTCAACGATCAAAATATAAATAAACTTATTTCTATTTAGTTTTCTTTCTTTATATCACAAGTGTTAGTTTATTAACTTTGATCAGTAAATTTCCTTTTATTATTAG